TGTGGTGAGGGCAGATGTGTGTTCAGTTTGTGGTGAGGGCAGATGTGGGCCAATAAAGTTCCTGCACTTGATCAGAGTTTGGATGCACAACAATGAGTGTTTACAAGACCACAGAGTGAAGAGACACTTGATGGGGAGGCATCGCATCAATTATATGTGAAGGGGACGTGTCCCCCGCACATTTAAAAATATTTGTTGAGACCCCCCCTCCCTCCCTCCCACACACACACACACACGCACACACACACACACACACACACACACACACACACACACACACACACGCACACACGCACACACACACATTTACCATAAAATATTAGTCCATTCAGTGATGTTTCTATTTCTTCATGAACATATCAATTTCACTTGATTAATAGGAGAAAACTCAAACCTCTAAGAGTCCACTCCAGGTTTTCCTGGTTACCTGCAACAACTCACCACACCACATGCAGTGTTTCCCTGAGGTCACTTGCCTTGAGGGCACTCATCTCTTCAGCAGTTTTTGTGGAGGGAAGAGGGGGAGAAACCTCTTTGTTACGCGCTAGCTTAGCAATACGTTAGTGCTGGCAGTAGCTGAACTGGGGTAAAGCCTTCCTCAGATTCAGAAACCTTACTGTCGCTCAAATACAGAGTGCTCGATTACAACAACCTTAACAGCTGAGCTGCATGTGCACAGTTGTGTATGGCCCTGTTTACAGGCGATTAATATACAAAAAAAGCAACATTTCACCTAGATTCTATTACTTTCATTTCACACATTTAAAGCATGTTTCTCATGAAGTTGGTGGAAATTCAGATGTGGGATTTTAAAGACATTAAAAAAACATTTTAAAAAGTTATCCAGTTTTAGCTTCTCTCACCGTCAAGAAAATGATTAAAAAATATTCTAACATACAAAACTCTCAACAACCAAGCTTCATTTTATATTTTCCTAACACAGCACTTTGCTCTCAGACTGCAGGTTTACTTGTGGTTCCTAGAGTTTCTAAAAGCAGAATGGGAGACAGATCTTTCAGTTATCAGGCTCCTCTCTTGTGGAACCAACTTCCAGTTTCTGTCCGTGAGGATTAGGTTTAAGTCTTTTTTTTTTTTAAATAAATCCTACAGTTAGTGTCAGCTTGGGGTTCCTGAGCTGTCCCTTAGTTATGTTGCTATAGTCTTAGACTGCTGGAGGACAAACTGACCACATCTCCTCACTCTGCTGCTGTCTTTATTCTGATGTTCATGTTTCTACTTGCAATTATTGCTGTTATTAACTACTGTAGTTTATTTTTCATCCCATAGAAACCACACCTGAACCAATGCTTCTGTTTGTTTGTGTCTATCTCCTGTTTTCTCAAACCTCAACCAGCTGAAACAGGCAACCACTCGTCTTGAGAATGGCTTTGGTTCTGCTGGAGGTTTCATCCTGTTAAAATGTGTTTCTTTCCACTGTCGCCTCCGTGCTGCTCAGGATATGGGATTGAGACAAAGCAAAGATTTGACACAATCTGCTGGAACCCTTAGATAGAAAACTTTTACAAATACAGTAGACATTTCATAATGTATTGTTAGAGAATGAGTTGTATTATAACAGCAAATAAATAGACTATAGCTGGATTTGATGCTGCCCTGAGATGATATCTGCTGTGAATCTGCGCTATATACCGGTAAATAAAGTACATCAAACTGAATTAAATCAAGAATGAAAATATCAATATAATTGAACACACACCTGTCAGACTCTTCAAAGCAGAGGCTTGACATCAGAGTCACAATTTTAACTAATGTTGGAGGCTGGGGGAAAAATAATCCAAAACAATACTTCCTGATATGTGCCTTTGTTGCCACTCCACAAAGGACACCATCTTCAGTTGCCATTGTGCCCTAAAGGGAGCCACAGCTACCCTTCAAAACAAAGCTAGTGGTTGAGTGAAGCAGGAAGACGAAAAGCCAATTATACCAGCAAAAAAGAATGAGGAAGGATTATGGGTGAATACAAAAGCAGCAGCAGCAAAAAGCCCTAACTCATTTTCCCCGTTTATTTGAAAGACTTCACGTCTAAAAGACAGACCTAACTGTTTTCCACACACGGATTCAACATCAAGTTGTAGAGTTCACATAAGGAATCTAGCTTTTCAATGGAATGTCATTGCTTAGGATTTCATTTTGATTATTTATTGTTTATTTGAAAAGGACAAGAGGCATTTATTAAAACTGATAAACCCTTTAAATGTGGCTGATGGGTCAGAAGAACACGAGGGCTAATTTATTGACTGTTGATGGTAAAACATCTAAAAAAAATGAATGGGATGAAAAAAACAACATGCCTACCAAAACCTGACCTCGTACGTAACAAAAATGAAGCCAAACAAAAATAGCTGTATGTCAATGCTCCGCGTTGCTGAAACATTTGAATAATGAATATTATTAGTTCTCAAAATGAGTGGTTTTCTGGACTGGAATTTTCCATCTTTATTTATACAGGTTTATCTCATTGAGCCTCTGGGACTCATTTACAAGAGAGACCTGAATTTTAACAAAGAGTGATGACAACAACAATAGACAATCATAAAGTATGCAAAGAAGAATTGAATTGAAGGAATTGAACAGGAAATGCAAGTTTGGTGCAAAATATTCACACGGATAGGAGTTACACAGTGGAGAAGAACAGAGGGAGTTATTTTTTTCTTGCTCAAGGCATCACAGGGTGATGGATCCTGGAGAGTGGAGGGAGCAGTTTTTATTCACCACCAGGTACAATGGAGGAGCCAGGGGATGGCCAATGGTGGCCTTGGTCACCATTATCTTCAGCTATTCTAATCTTTTGAAAAAAAAAACATACTTTTAAGCAATATAAAAACTAGAAAGCATAGTTTCCTACAATAACAATAGTGCCTGGTTTACATAGAAAAATGGTTATCTTGGGTTCTGTCATGACCACCCAAGTTTCAGATCATACTTTTTTTTACATCACGATGAAACCACACATGCAAAAGTAAGTTGGCCCATTGCTTATTTTTCAAGTTATCCAGCTCACATTGTTTACATATTTATGGCAGTGGCCATCTTGGATTTTGACATGACACCCAATTTTAAAAATCATATTAATATTATTATTAATAGTAATAAATTGTTTTTCCTGAATGTTGCAAAGATAAATAAAAGATGGCTTTAAGGTTTTTTATATTCCATTGTTTTAGATTTTATTGATTTGATCAATTTGTAAATGACTAAATAGTCATAGGTTTATCAATGTGACTGAAATATTTGAAAGCATATTTATTTTAATAGCATTAACTAAGTTAATAGTTTAATTTATTTAATGTTTTCAAGGTAAAATGTAGGTGTTTGCCACTCTTTAAATGTTTTTCAAGACAACATGGAGTCTAATGTGATCTCAAAATCTTTAAATTCATTATAATATCAAGCTCATCTCCACTTTTAAAAACATGAAAATGTCAAATTATTTTGTAAATGTCAAACAAGTCATCAATGATGGGCAAGATTTAGCGTCATACTGCAGACGTTGCAAACAAAAGTGATACAGATGTTTCTTGTACAATAAATTTTTTTCTTCAAAAAATTATGTTCACTGCATTCATATGGACACTATTATTTGGCCATCCATCAGCTGCTTTAAGGATAAACAGAACTGGGCCAAGAAAAGAACCCTGTTGGACTCCTAAAATACTGTCAAGGTAAGAAGAATAAATCTCATCAACACAAACACAATGCTTTTTGCTTGAAAGATACTGTATTTTATTTGAATAATTTGATCATTAGAAAAATGTTATTCTAGAACACGTCCGCAATACTCTGGATATTTTTAAACACTAAGATATTCTGCTATTTTCACCTCCAATTCACACACACAGTCTTTAGAATCTTTAATAAAACTGTTTGTTGTTGTTTTTTGCTCATTTTATACATGTCCACTTTGACTTTGTGCTCTTGAAATGAAAACAAAAATAAAGCTGTTTCAGCTTTTCTGCGTCAGTCCAATTTGATCACGATCCTGTCACTTTGAAACCCTAATTGTGTGCTGAAATGAATAACTAGGAGGAAACTCTTATTGGTATCAAAGAGAAATATAAGGTTAGGATGAATCCTAAGTCAAGCAGAGCATGCTATTTTTTACCACTGGTATTGTATGGGTATTTCATCATTTTTGTTAGAACCATGCAAATTAGATACAACAACTAACGCCCAGTTCACCCAACTTTTTTATGAGCAGGTTCACGTTTTACTTCAAGCTCAGGTTTGATACCAGAGGCCTGGAAGCTTGAGGGTTCTGTCCAGTATCTTAACTGTTCCTAGAATTGTGTTCTACTAAAGATTGCTGATGTTGTTCCTGGGATATACTGATGTCACCCTTTTAGTGTGGGGTCACAGCCTTGAGTGCTCTGATGATCACTGGCACCACAGAGGCCCTGACTCACCATTGCTTCTTAATTTCCTCTTTTATCCTTTGATATTTCTCCAGCTTCTCGTGCTTTTTCTTGACAATGATTAATTTGCTACATTGATAATGAATGAATTGCTACATTGATCACTTCTGGAGTTTGACCCCTTCAATGTTCGTTTGATTAGCCATCATCGGTTTTTCAGTTTGAATCTGTTCAAGTATAGCCCTGTCAATGTCATTCTCCACCATACT